AAAAAAAAAAAATAGTTGAACCGTGTACGTGGCCCCGACAAAAAATACTTCAAAATAAAACCAAAAATAAAAAAAATATATATAAAATAATCTTCAACCTCAATCTACAGGCTATACATACACACATCACATATAAATATGTATGTATATATATATATTCCTAGAGAGCGTGCCAAGCAAAAACAACACACACAACACACAGTAAATTAAAAATGGAGTGCGTTTTTGCAGACAATCAGGAAAATTGCATGAGCGGCTGCGAGTCCGGCTGGACCATCTACTTAGACCACTCCTCGATTTCTCCCTACGTCACCGAATTCACCGCCGGCGGCCGCCGCGAAATCGGGGCTTTCGTCGGAGGGGACGAGGAGTACGAGGACGAGGATCTGTCCATGGTGTCCGACGCCTCCTCCGGCCCTCCGCATCTCCACGACGAGGATCGGGTCGTCGTCGGCGGAAGGCCGGAATCCGCCGCCGGCGGGTGCTCGTACAACTACGCCGCGGCGGCGGCGGCTGTCGAGGAGGCGCAGCCCCGCAGAAGGGGAAGGGAGAAACGGCGTCGTAGCAGCCAAGACGGGTCGTCCCTGCTCGACGACACTGCCAGCTCACCATTTTTCGATTTCTCCGATGTGAGTGTGTGCTTGTCATTTAGTTGAATTTTTTTGAAATTTTTAATTTTTTTTTTTTTTAAATTTGTAATTATAATTTTGAATTTGAATTTTTTTGTTTTACAGAAGAAATTTACTGTGGATAGAAGCAAGGAAGAGGAGAATGTGTTGGAATATTCACAAGGCTACTCTTCTACTCAGTTTGAGGTAATATTTTGTCAATTTTTTTTTTAATACTTTTCTGAATTCAAAAAAATAAAAAATAAAATAAATAAATAATTAGTGGGTGTTTTTGTAATTTAAAAATGGATTGAATTTTGGATGTCATTTGCAGGTGAGGCCTCCATATGCAGAGCAATATGAGTTCTTTCAGTCAACAGAGTCAGCAGATCAGCTGCAGCAAAACCAGTTCAGTATTTTAATTTTTTTTTAAATTTCTTATATAATTATTTGGGGGAAATGCTACAATCTCGTTACGGAACCATTCCGTCGAGATTTGTAATCGTTAGATTATCATGTAACCGTAGTGGTTAGTTAATCTAAGGTTACAAACCTCAACGGAATGGTTACGTAACGAGACTGTAGAATCTCTCAATTATTTGATGTGATATATTTATTTATGTTTTGATTGATTTAATTTATAGCAGGTGGCTTGAAGGGAAAAGGTGGTGATTTTATGAAAAAAGTGGCTGTTGCAACTTGTGAGCATTCTCTGTGTTTGGGTGCTTTGTGAAGGCAAAAAGGGAGATTGAATCCTAAGAGGGATTGTAAATTCCTTTCTTTGCAAAAAATTAAAAAAAAAAAGACAAAAAAAAAATTGTAGATGTTGAATTTCATTTTGTTTAGAGATTCAAGATATATTGTATGCAAATAATTATGGTAATCAATTGAGTTGATTTGTTTGTTTTTAATTTTTTTAATTTTTTTTTTTTATTTTTAATTCTCCAAAATATGTCCAACCTTGGTTAAGTGTATTGGG